CCACTGCTTCAGTCTTTCTTCCGAACACTCTCTTGTGCTTTAAAATTACCACCTTAGCTGTAGACTCTTCTGAAAGCCCTCAATATGCTTTCCAACACAAGGTTGAAAGTGCTTCCCACTTGAGACAAAACTACAAGTTTCAATTTCAAAGCCTACTTTATATTAAGAGATTCCTTTTGGCTTGGGGACTTCTTTGAGACATTCCTAGAGCTTGTCTAAAGAAGCAACACTGTAAAACAAAGCACTCCAGACAGACGTTTTTGTTTTGTCAGTTATGGTGCCTTTTTCATTTGCACTGAAAGTAAATTAAGGCTACCAACAAAAAAGTACTTGACACCCAAAAAGAGCATTCACATTTATCCAGTTTACTTTAAATTTCCACCAACCAAATACTTTTGCAGAAACCCCACACACTGACACTCACCCATTCATATCCCTAAGAACCATTAATCTGACAAGGTTGTGGAACATACCCAAATGCCTTCTCACACCTCCTTCTCCATGCCTTGCTTCCCAAATTTCCATACATGCCTTAAGCTGTGTTACTGAAGTTCAGTGTGGTTCTAGGTGACATGCACACAGCAGAGATGGGCTTGGCATCCAAACAGAAATTCCACACGTCAGCTAGAACTCTGAATTTCCACCCATCTGTTTGCTCAGCAGCACACCACTCATGCAGACACATTCGTACTTTTACAGGGATCCATTTACCCACACCAAGCTATTCTAATTCCTAGGCAGAATTCTTCCATTACTGAAGACTGAGGAGATGCCTGCAAGAAGGAACGGAGGCTGCCGTAAGAGAGACACATGAAGGCTACTCTGCGTTAGCAGGGAGGGTCACAAGACATTTGAGACCCTTTCGGAAGTGGAGCACAAGTCACATGTAAGCCACAACCTTACAGGTGCAATCATCATAACAAACCAATGATTCTCTACCTCTGAGCCAGTGTTCTCATACCTTTCTCGTAGGTCTCCTTTCTTTAGCTAGTTCACCTTACTGCTTCTGCAACACCTGCGACAACATACCCTGCCCTTTGGTGCCAATTAGCAAACAACAACATCAGAATTCCTAGAGGAATTTTCAAGACATTAGGTGCCTTTCTTGTTTGAAAAACTAACATGAGTGAAAATAAAAGGTGCATTTCTTTTTGCACTACAGCACCAAGTCATTTCAAAAGTAGTTCTCTGGAAAGATGCTGCATTTGGCAAAAGTGCTCCCTTTCAATACCCATTAATATCCTCATGGTCACTCTCCCACACTGGACTAGCAGGCACTGAGACTGCTGCCTAATAAGCCCTCCTCAACTCTAAGCCTGTTGCTGTCTTCTCTGGTTAAGTGGAAAATGGCTTGTATGAAGTTCAGAAAGCTGCATCTCAAGTGGCTCACAGCAAAGCTAAACAAAGCACACTCAGGCCTCCAGGATCTCTTTTCACCCTTGAAACGGGTTGGTGAACAATCACCTAAGTAGGTTTCAGCAATTATGAGATCAGAAGAGTTACCCGTTACTGCAGTTTAAAAAAAATAATCTCTCACTCAGTGGTTTGCAAGTGCAGACAAAAATGTACATGAATTTTTTCATCCTGACACTGGGTTTCCTTTGTCTTCACCTCCCGTAATAGAATACAGGAAGCAGCAAGGTATCCCATTTTCCCAATCACAGACAAGAAGGTCACCCTCCTCATTTCTGAATCTCCACAAGATTGCTGCTAAGTCGTTCCCTTACAAACCGTCTGTTTCTTGTCTTCAGCTGGGAATGCATACTTCTCACTTGAAACTTCGTACAGAAACACACTATCTTCAGATAGGCAAACGGCTTTTTGGCTTCCATTCAAGTGCTACTAATGCTGAAGGTAATAATTCTTCTCTTCAAATGTGGCAGATCTTGGAACTCTCGTCCATCCCAGAGACATCCTTACATTTCTGTGTTGAAGTGAGGCTTCAAAAGCCATCCCAGTGTCACCGAGTGAATTCGTATTTATAAACTGCTTTTCTTTCTCTTCTTCGATATTACCTCACACCCTACTGCCTCATGCCTGTGACCCTATCACTTCTGTTACAACCTATGTTCCTTTACCACATTAGGTGAGCTCTTAAGCATTATTAGGATATCTAAACAGTTCTTCACATACAAGCTTTTCCAATAACTCTTCAAATTCCTTTGTTTCTCAAGGGTTGTGAGTACTATAACAAAAAAATTGCAAAATGCCTTCCTTTCATTCTACCCAGAGAAACATTCATGTGCTCTGCACATCAGCAGCAGTTAAACTATAAAAATGAACTAGTATCTGTGTCATGTGAGATGTGTTCTCATTTTCAGAAGTTAACTGAACACTAACAGAACTGTATTTCAACTGCAATTTGCTACAGGTCTTCATTCCAATCCTTCCACCTCTGGAAGCATCTTACCAGTTCCATCATCTGCATCATTCTGACCAGTCTCCCAAATCTCTGGTTTTGTCCCAAAGCCATCAGTGGCAGAAGACGCCGTATAGTCAGCAGGGTTAAATGTCCTAGAGTTTTAGAAGTTAAGAAATGGAAGAGAACACATGGGTCATTCAACAAGCACAAGTGTCATTACTGTTAGGTGAAGTTGCATTAGATTTAACATCTCCATCTCCATATAATTTATCTTGATAGATTTGGTTTCAGGGCTTTTTTCTGCTATGAGCAGTCAGAGAAGAAGAAAAGAGAAAGGAGAAACAAGTGAGGAGTCTGGAAAACAAAATTCCTGTAGAGAAACTAAACCAATACAATTCCTGAAAAAGCAGCATACCTACTCCCCCCAGTCTTATAAACCATTAGTTTATTCACACAAGAATAAGGGCCCTCTCAGCTGATAACTTCTCAGCAGATGGATGACTGATAAGTAACCAGCATCACATCCTTTCAGAGCACCAGACTGGCACAGGACAGGAGGTGGAATGTCAGACTGGAAGATTAATTCAAAGTGCTCTTCTGACGCCAATGCCAAAACACATAGATGCAGCTAAACAGTGAAAAAGGATTATTGAAGAAAAACCTCTTTTCAGTTCATCATCTACAAGCATGAACAAGAAGGATTATTAGAGAAGTAGAATAAGCCTTCTGTTCACCATGACATCACTGATGTTACATGAAGTGCCATTAAAGGCAAACACTGAAGCAAAGTAGTGGAGGCTATGTTTCTATACAGCAAGTTATTCCAACAAAATCGAGAACAAACTTTAGAGCTGCTGAGTAAATACTTCTGAATCTGTTTTAGGATCCCCATATGTCTGAACAGCTAATGCATGAAACCTCAAAAACAGGGGAAACTTTAGAAACACTGCTTTCTAGTTTTATATAGAACTTGCACATTCCACATTACGCTGAAATCAATCTGGGTTTAGGTTAACCTAAGACTATATGCACCACACAACTTTCAGCCTCCAAGGCACTATTTGGCTGCTACTGATAGCAGCTATGGTTCTCCAAGTCTGAGACACTAACACTGAGGAAACAAACACTGGGTTTGTATAGGTGTGCCCAGTCAGAAATACTGGTTTAAGATAAAAACGTTCCATTCATCATCTAAGAGACTTGTAAATTTTTGCATCCCTACTGGTTTATCAAACATACAGCAATATTCATACATACAATGGCAACATTATCAATCAATATTGCCACTGAGTTTGATCCTTGCCAAAATCTGTGCTCTGCATGTTTCTTACCCCATGCCTTGGGCTGAAAACCTCCCCGTTCCTCTCCCTCTGCCACGTCCAAACCCTAGGAGAGAAAACACCATTTAACAGCAGCAGCAGAGGAGCCGCCAGTCACTAGTCTGTCACATTAGAGAATACTATGGTTGAACAAGAAAACTGCCATAGCTGAAGTTAAATACCATTTAATTCTCAAATTCCCTTACAGAATTTAGTTTCCTAACACATGCAAATAAACCACAGTTTATCTAAGACCACTTATTTAAGCAGGACCTGCAATTCTTTGCCATCTTTTCTGTATCTCATGAAGCAGCTCCAAATGCCAATTAAAGGACTTACCTAAAGACTCAGCCCAAAGACTGCTATTGCCAAATCATTAGACATTACACAAAACTGTCTCCACTAACTCCTGCCTAAGATGCTCTCAGCCTGCCTGCATACCCTAATCTCCCAAGAAATTCCCTGCCACTCCTTATCTGTGGGGAGAAAGTTTAAACACTCCATTTGTTTCCTTCTCTGACTCAGACCACCTGGCCATCCCTACCCTCCAGTGCTTTCTCCAACCTGTGACCGCACATTCTACTTCCCCCTTAATCACAGTTACTGAAATGAAAAACACTCAATTCAAATTTCTCAACTTCGTTATCATCCACAAGAATACTCATTTCTATTTTAGTAAAAAGAAGTATTTGTCACCTCCAGTTCTGATTACCAGCCTCAGTTTACAAACATCTTGATATAGTGAATGGCTTTATTTTTGCACATTGCGTAGTATTAACAAGGCACAGAAACCTGTGTTAAACTTAGCAATCCATAAAGCAAATGTCTACAAAAAGTGTTCGCAACTATTTCTTACCTGCAGCATATTTCTGCACAGGTCTCCCCTCTCCCCTTTTAGGGGTTTATCTGAGGCTTTACTAGTTTGTTGGGGTTTTTTTGCAGGGAAGACTAGGAATATTATTTTGTATTACAAGACCAGAAAGAAGTCAAGAGCTGCAGTCTGAGAACAAAGTTGTGTTTAATGACAAAATTATGCGGTATTTTAAGTCACCAAGGAACTAAAAGCTTACCAGAGCACAAAAGTTAGAATCCTAAATCACTGATACAATGGTGTTCAAACATCAGAACTACTCATGATAAGCTGTTTGAAGTTGGATCCCTTTACTTTCAGGGGACCATTTAACCTAAGTAACACCAGCAGCTTCAGAACACAGTAAAACCAGTTTAGGAAGTTCCCGTTTTAATGAGTTTCCATTTCCTGCCCTCACCACCAGTTCTTCTCTTTGCCCCAGTTCACTCCTCAAGTGTCGAAAGACATTTCTGACCTTCCTTTTTCAAAGACTTCTCAGAATCATCAAAAGGAGCAGGATGAAACACACAAAGGAAGGATTCACACCCAGCAACACACAGTATTTTGGCAAGGCAAGAACACAGAGTAGCTGACGTCTGACACTGCTATCTCTACACTATTTTCCTCTCTTTGCTCTTTTTTCAGAACCAGCTGCAGAGAAGGCAGACACAGGTTAGGAAAGGAGCAACAACTGCTGCAATGTGGCATTTGCCATCCTTCTTCACCAAGCCCACATGCTCTTTGCCACAAACAACAGTGCTGTGATGCACAGAAGTCACAGCACTCTGGATTATCTTTTCGTCTGGTAAATTTTTTTCAGAGCAGAATGAGCTACCCACATTTACCTGGGGACATGGTAGGGGCCATTACATAATAAAATTACTTCCTGCAGCTATCAATACAGCATTAAACACCATTTACTGAAATCGCATAGAAGCAAGATCAACAGTTCTCTGACAACCTCAGCTACAAGTCCAATTGGGAGCTGCAAAACATAGAAACAGTCAAGCAGAAATATTTTTGAGTGAGGCAGACATTAGGTACAGAAAAATAGGTGAACAGTTAGAATAAAAAGAAACAGATTTTAGAAGAGAAGTCTACTCAAGTCTCCAAAGTGAAAAAGCCTAACAGAATAACCTTAGTACAGGTGTTAGTTTTGTCTGGGGCAGAGTTAACTTTCATCACAGTGCGTGGTATGGGGCTGTTTTTTAGATTTGTGCTGAACACAGGGTTGATAATGTAGAGATGTTTTTGTCACTGCTGAGCAGAGCATACACAGAGTCAAGGCCTTTGCTGCTTTCTGTACTGCCACACTGGCAAGGAACTTGGGGGCGTATGGAAGACTGGGAGGAGACACAGCTGGGACAGGTGATCCAAACTGACCAAAGGGATATTCCACATCATATGACATCATGCTCAGTATATAAGGGGGAGTAAAAAGGAGGAAGGGAGGACATCTGGAGTGATGGTGTTTGTCTTCCCAAGGAACCGTTTAGTGTGATGGGCCCTGCTCTCCTGGAGATGGCTGAACACCTCCTGTCTGTGGGAAGCAGTGAGTTAATTTCTTGTTTTGCTTTGCTTGTGTGTGCAGCTTTTGCTTTCCCTATCAAACTATCTTTATCTCAACCCATGAGTTTTGTACCTTTAACGCTTCTGAGTCTCTTCTCCATTCCCCTGGTGGGGGAGTGAGCGAGTGGCTGTGTGGGGCTTGGCTGCTGCCTGGGGTTAAACCACGACAGCACACTAAACAGCATGTGACATTTTGATAAGAAAGGCATAAGTAAGACACCATACCATCATGGGCACAATAAACTACCGGCTAAAAACATTAGTAACGTCTAACAATTTTAGAAATTGCTAAAGAGAAATAATATTGCTCCTGAAGTTCATGCACAGTCTGCCAGCAAGGCAGTTTTAATATCAAATCACTGTGAAAGCTAATCCTGAGCTTGAATTTCAAGTGGATTTCCTTAACTTCATAGACCCATGTCTACACTGTCAAAACTGAAACTAAATTAAGTTTAATCAACAATTACAACAAAAAGCATTCTAATGAAGACAAAACCCTACAGGTTTGGTACTAAATTCAAAGGTAGAAAAGACACAAAGAATTAATTCAAATTCTGGGACAGTGAGTACTCAGCACTGAGTATTCACTCTAATGCAGACCAGGATCTCATACACCATGGACACTAACACAAGATACCATCGGGAAGGACTGACACTCTTTTTGATACAACCAGACCATTAATACATTCTTATGTTCTCATGCCAAGACAGTTACTTCTCTCAACTGTCAAAATTAAAACGTGGCCTTAAATAGATTAGAAGGCACAGTCTTCTAACACAGAGAACTTAGTCACAAAACATCTGCAAATGACCACAGAGTATTTAGCATACTTAGTATGTTTTTAACAGTGACTAAAAGGTCAGTAAGCAAACGAGGCTTGACATCAGATTTCAGAGCAGGGACCCAAATTCTGAGCATGCAATCCCACAGAAACTCAAACTCATTTAAATCAGAACTACTACAACTATGGTCTTCCTCACCAGTGACCGCAAGCATAACCCTTTCCTGTACTGACAATTTTGCATTTACCAGTGAGCGAGCACCAAACTACCTGAAAACAACATTATTTGTTCACTTTTGGATCAGGTCTCAGAACCAGTTCTCTGCTTGATAAAGGCCAGAAAACCATTCACCTTCACACCAGGATAAGCCACTAATAGACTCTGCTGTCCTCAGTGACCTTTTAGGTTTTTTGCCTTAGCATAGTTTCCAGGAAGATCTGCTACATGATCTTACCAGGCACAGATGTGAGTCTGCCTGGCCTGTAGTTCCCCAGGTCTTCCTCATTTCTCTTTTCAAATGGAGGCTATGCTTCCTCTTTTCCAATCAGTGAGAACTTCACTCATATTTGATGGATAGGGGCTTAGCCACTTCCTCTGCCAGTTCCCTCAGGACCCACAGATGTATCTTGTCAATTCCCACAGACATGGGCATCTTTAGATTTCTTAAATGGTCTCAGACCTGATCCTCTCCTACAGCAGGCTGTTCTTCATTCTCCCAGTCCCTGTCTTGTCACTTCTACAACCCATGTGGCTGGAGATCTTACCAGTAAAAACTGAGGCAAAAACAATCATTAAGTTCTGCAGCCTTCTTCATGGCCTGGTTAGCCCTTCTGTTTTCTTCCAGAAAGGGCCCACACACACTTTCCCTAGTCTTCCTTTCATCACCAGCATTACCAATTCAGCATTCCTAACCAGAACCACTAGCTGCTCAGACAATCTCTCTGTTCCTCCCAGGCTACCTGTCTTTGCTTCCATCCTCTATAAGCTTCCTTTTACTGTTTGAGTTTGTCCAGAAGTTCCTTGTCCATCCATGGCAGTCAAATTGTTTTGCCCAGCTTTCTCTTTGTTGGGATGCATCCCTCCTGAGCTTGGAGGAAGAGATCCTTAAATATCAACCAGCTTTCATGGGTCTCTTTTCCCTCCAAGGCTCTATCCCATGGCACTCTACCAAGCAGATCCCTGAAGAGCCTAAAGTATGCTCTCCTGAAGGCCAAGGCAGTGAGCTTGCTGTGTGTCCTCCTCACTGCCCCAAGGATCTCAAACTTCACCATTTCATGGTTGCTGCAGCCCAGGCTGCCCTTCACCTTCACATCCCTCACCTTCTTGCTGATGAGAATAAGGTCCAACATAGCACCTCTCCTCAGTGGCCCATCTATAACTTGGAACAGGAAGTTAGCACCAAGGCATTCCAGGAGCATCCTGGATTGTCTGCGCCGAACTGTGTTGTCCTTAGAACATCTTTGTGGTGGTGGCAGCTCCCCATGAGGACCAGGACTTGTGAGCTATCCCACTCCTATCTGTCTATAGAGGGCCTCATCCCTGGTCAAGAGGCCTGTAGCAGACGCCCACTACAATGTCACCTGTGTCTGCCCTCCCTATAATTCTTGAGCACAAGCTCTTGGTCAGTTCCTCATCCATCCCCAGGCAGAGCTCCATGCACTACAGTTGGTCACTAACACAGAGTGTGATAATCCCTCCTCATCTCCACTGCCTGTCCTTCCTATAGAACCTGTATTCTTCCAACCATTCCATTCCAACACTCCAGTCAAAGAAGCCAGGCCACCTCCAAGATGCCAGTAAGACCATGGCCCTGCAGGCATGTGCACATCTCTAACTGCCCTTGTTAATTCCCCATGCTATGTATG